CGCCCGGCCGCGCCAATGTTTTATATGGCGATCGGAGTTTTCACAGACCGCAAATCGTCCCTCTTTCGATTGGCACCGCGCTTGGGTGTTGTTGAGAAAGTTCACGTCGTGGGTTTTGGCTGATAACAACGGCTGTCCAGCTTTCACACGTTTCAAAGGAATCTAACCGATTTGGACTATTCCTTGTGCCCTGCAGGAAATGTAGAATCTTTTTCACAAATTGTATTTGGTGACATGTATTAAGAATTATCTACAACAATTCTTGAATATATTTAATTTTTTAGTTTAATTTTATTATTTGGGAAAACTACATGCAAACACACCCATTTTCCGTCCTCATTTTAAAGCCTGGCATCTTGCATTGCTTATGGATCATATAGCAGTTGTCCAGATATATTAGTTTGATATTTTCAATTTTGATATTTTTATAAGTGACGAGAGGTTATCAAAATCATGTCCAAGGCAATCGTGGAGCTGTTTCTTTTTTCAAACACACAAACAGCTCCATAATAATAGTTTTTATGTTAATTTAAACTTCCCTTAATTTAGAGTACCTCTAGATAGGAGAGCAAAATATCATCCATTGCATCTTAAAAGGCACACCTTCTAGGAAAGTTATTTTTCTCTCACACAGTCTTCCTCTCTTTATGTTTCCACTTTTATCACCAAGCTCCTGATACCTGATTCGTTCTCAAGTATTTATCGTATTCTGGGGGGGGGGGGGGAGTGTTCTTTGTCCTTAAGAAAAATCCTGCAGTTTCCTTAGCACTATCATCAGGAGGATATGCCATTCAGATAACAGTTCTCCAAAATGCTAGACTACCAACATCCCTATATTCCTCAGCTAGCACAATTGAGTGGCTGTTACATACATTGGGCTCTAATTTCCTCAATTGATCCAGGGGTGGTCATGGAGCTCTTTTAACTTGTCTTACCCATCTAAAATATTTCCAAATTAGGCTGGTCCTATTTCAAAAGCTAAGAGATCTCCAATTACAGGTCATTTTTGAGAGTTGTACTGTATCTGTGTTTACCATTAATGAAGTTGACTGTGCAAAGTTATTCTACAGGGTATTGTTTCACATGCCTCTGATTTCTCCATCTCTCCTTGCTCTGCTTTTTGGGTTTCGCTTGATTTTAAAAAGATTTGGGACAAGTTGTATTTAATTTGGAAAACAGATCACTGTTTTAGAAAGTCTGCCAACCTGCCCTCTTAGACTTAGCTTAGAATCCTGGAGGATTTCCCTGCTTCTCTTACTGATAGTCCAAATGATCAAAACATAAAACATATGCACGGTGACAAGAAAAACTGTTTTTTTTCCTTTTGTTTTTGAAAAGCCATAACTCAAGGGGGGTGGGGAATTCAGGGCAGCAGCTGAAAAGAAATCTTTTTTTCTTATAATGCATAACTCTCTAATAATATATTTCAACTTCCAGCTGGACAGTTTTAAAAGGGAATTAACAAATGCATAAATGTTAAGGTTATATACTGTATTATACCAATAGCACTTAATGAGGACAGCAGGCAAGGAAGAAGGAAATGGAAGGAAAAATGGAAAAAAAAATAATCACAGCATTACCAATGAGAGCTTTAAAATGATTTTACCAACTGGGGAAGTCCATTAATCGGTGACTGGTTTAAAGTCCATCCACAACAATGGACTTATTCAAGAGAGAGGATGGAAATATAGCTATTAGACTAGCTAGGACCATTTTTACAGACCCCTTGAGAGGTGGAATATCCATTTTCCTTGCTAAGGATTTTCATGCTACCTTGGGGGGTATTAGGACCTTGCCTTACCTTCAATAACTTTCCTTATATCACTTAGTATCACTTGCTAGGAACACAATTGGGACTATGCAATTGGCATTGATCTTGCTGATGGGCTGTAGTAAGGCCCATGGAAACATAATGCTGAACTAGGTTGGCTTTTGGTTTTATTCAGAGTTTTTGTACTGATTATGTTCTAATATACTTTTGTTATATTGCTACCAAAATGTGTGCGTGTGTCTGTATGTGTGGGGGGTTTGTATCTATGGCTATAGTTATAGCCCAGAATGTAGTCTTTTCTTAGAATTAAATGCTCCCATCTCCTATAGTTCCATAGTTTATTTGGGCAGGTAGCCTATTTTCTATATCTTCGTACTCTAGAAGTAAATCAAAGAAAGGGGGGAAAAAGTCATCTAACACAAGAACAGATAATTACATTTTACTATAAATGCCATGCCAGGTCTAATTTGTAAAGTAATAAAGTATCCAGATGACTTTGACTTAACGTTGAAGATCAAATTACACAGGCAAATAAATATTATATAATTAATTTAACAAGTCGCAGGAGGATCCAAGGACAGAACAAATATTCATGATAATTCAAAACCCCTTTCAAATTTTTGCATCCTAAAAACAAGATTGGTGACTGTTTCTGAGCAGAAAGATGCCTTATACACAACACAACCATTGAAAAGAGCAACCTGAGTCTTATGTTAGTCAGCCTCTTAATACAGTGGTTCTCAACCCTTTTAATACCGCGACCCCCAACCAGTCGTAAGTCGAGGATTACTCAACCGGTCATAAGTCGAGGACTACTCAACTGGTGCAGCATCGTTTGCAGAATGGGACTTTTGGCGGGCTCAGCAGGGCAGAGACAGCCTGGACAATTCCTATTGGCTTTTGAAAGCCAATAGAATTAGATTCTATTCAAGAGAGTCTATTCTATTGGCTTTCAAAAGCCAATGGAATAAAAGGGAGTAGCACAGCTAAGGAAAAGGGGAAAAAATGGCAGACTGCGTTGTTTGGCGACCCCCGTGAAATAGTCGTTCGACCCCAAATGGGGTCCCGACCCACAGGTTAAGAACCACTGTCTTAATATGAAGGAACTTTCACCAAACCTTTGTTGTGAGGTCAACATGTTTGTTTATTTTTCACCCACCTCCCTTAAAGACAAATGTCCAGCTTTCTGCCTACAATCCATACCATAGGTTTCCAGTACCAAGTACTACACACAATATGCTAACATTTAGAATCACAAGTTGTAAGCAACCCTATATTTTATGGGGAAAGTGTAAGAATTTGCCTTGAGTTGCTGGCACAAAATAGCAATCTTGGAATCACTTTACATTCAACTATATTTCAGGTTTTTGAATTGGATAATAGCAACAGCCACTCAGTGTCCTTTTTTTTGTCACCTTACACTTTTCTACATTTCTTTTCCTTCTGAACTTCCTAATCACCGTTACCTCTAGGTAATACTGGAAAATGATTCATGTATTTGATATTGTGGGTTTGAGTCCATATATATATACCGGTATATATGCCATAATAAATGTGTTAGTCTTTATTGTGTTACAAGTCTTTTTTAAAAAAATTACTTGGGTTAGAAATAGAGTTAAAGCTCATACAGGAAACCTTAACCATCGAGTTTATAATTCTCAGCAGATCTCACAATTTGCTACTGTGTTGTTTCCCTGTAACACTAGCAGCTCTTTCTGATACAGAAAGTCCTCAACTTATGACCACAATCAAGACCCCAATTTCCAGTGCTAAGCAAGACAGTTGTTAAGTGAGCTTTGCCACACTTTACGACTTTTCTTGCCATAGTTATTAAATGAATCACTGCAGTTGTTAAGTTAGTAACATGGTTGTCAAGTCAATCTGGCTTTCCCGTTGACTTTGCTAGTCTTGTCAGAAGGTCACCAAAGGAGATCACATGACTCCAGGATGCTGCAACTGTCATAAGTTGCCAGTTGCCAAGCGTTCAAATTTTGATCATGTGACCATGGGTATGCTTCAACAGCTGTGTGAAAAACAGTCATAAGTCACTTTTTTCAATGCTGCTGTAACTTTGAGCAGTCACTGAATGGTTGTAAGCCTACCTGCATCATGTTAGGGCCACATCTGATATATTGTTGACCAGATGTAATTCAACTAGAAGCTACAGCTTGCCTGGTCCTTCCTTCTCTCTCTCTCTAATACACACACATATGCAAATTCGCAAAGCAAGTCACCAGTCTATATTTTCAGCCATATTAAAGAAGTCATTTCCAATAAATCCTGTGGGGTGTTTTTTTTTTTTTTTTTTTTAGAAAATTGTGATTGTTATTTAACCCGGTAAAGTCCAAGCAAACTAATACTTTCCTTATCCCTGAGACAGCAGGGTCCTTTTGATTTGAAGCTGCATTGAAAGCAGCAAGAACTTACAACTGAGTGGCAAAAGGTTCACGATGACTGGTTAATGCTAGAAAACGATACTGAAGGAGATCAGCTTCATATTTGTTTGCCAAACTCTTGTGGAAAAATAAAAGCCTTAAAAAAAGGACTTTCACGAATTCCAAGGGTGAAACAGAGAGGTTTTATTTTTGCGCAAAGGTTCAGAAGTGATTAACAATCAGCAAATTTCTGAACAAGGGGGAGGGTCTAAACTAAAGCTTTATAGGTTTCTTTTTCTCAGGAACAAAGGAAGCATAGATGGAATCTTACATTGTATATGGAATCTACTTTGTGTAACATTCAGATAGTTTCTCACAGGTTAGCTCCATTTCTCATGGGAATACAATGAATAGAAGGTTTCACTTTTAAACAATGTTTCTAAATATGCATTAGGTCATTCACACAGCTTTTTGCTAACACTGCTTTCTTCCAGAAATTACGCAGACACATGATTTTTGCTTTTAGTGATTTTTCATTATTATTATTATTCTACTTTATTCTTCTTTATTCTATGCTATTCTATTTCTTTCCCACTTTAAAACCACCTTTGCACCAGGAAAGTCAAGAAAGTCTCATTGACTCCAGTGGAACTGAGAGGGCCACTTTTCTTTTTTCCCAGCCCCTGCATGGAAGAATGCATGGAAGGGGGTGGGGTGAAGACTCTGTATCCTAGACCTGCCTCTACTATCCTTGCTTCTTGAGGCTGCACTTTTACTGATTATTGATTGGCAAACGTTTATCTTATCTCTTTTCTTACAGCTGGAGCTGGATTAAAAAGTGAGATCATACTTACTCGCTTTCCGAGGTTCTTCGGCAGGAGAAAGCAGAACTCGTTTCACTTTCACCACTTTCCAGTCTTGACTTTGATCATCCCTGTTGCTAATCCCAGGATCCATCGCATCAGAAACAGGCCACGGACAGTCTCCTCCTTTCTCATTGGACACCGGCCTGCTGTCATTGCTTTTGTGGGGGAGGACATTCCCATTGGCTCTCCAAGTTTCCTTCTGGAGATTTTCTCCAGCTGACTCTTTCCTTCCTTGCTCTCCATGGCTACTATCGTTTCCCGTTCCTTGCAGCCTTGCCAAATAGTTTTTGCCTTCTGCAGGGCCAACCTTAGATTTCTTAATAATGTGAGGATTTGGGTCAACTCTGCTGGAGCCTGCAAAGTTGGGCTGAGGTTGGAGACAAGGTGGTTGTAAGGTCGTTTTTAGCATTTTGCCTCTTGTTGGATAATATTCAGTGCTTGGCAGAGCTGTTCTTCCTCAGATGAAAATTCTTTGCAATTTTCAACTCTTCTTGGATATTGCCTGGGAAGGCAGAAAAGCAAATTATATCCTTCAGTCCAATAAGCCTTTCACAAGCCTGACCACAAAGCTCTTAAGTGCAGGGATAAGATGGCACCAAGAACACATGATGCATTTTAAAAAGGAATTTGGGATTTAAGTGATGGAAAACAGACATATTTCTCTTTAATTCCTTTGCAGCCTTCAAATTGTTAAGACAAACAAAGGAGAGTTTCTGACAGGACTTTCCTTGTCATGTTTAGGTCCAAGGTAGTTTCCAAATAGATGCATTTTAGAAGAAACAAATAGCTTTTTTTACCAGTGTTTAATATACAAACACACACAAAAGATGTGTCTACATTATTTTACGTAGCTACTCAATCTGTGAATTTAAAGTAATATCTTCATATATAAGCAGATGATTTTGCATTAAGGAAAATGTTGCCAATTTTCCTTTTTCACATCCATTTCTGCCCCCATAGCCCTAAAGAACAATAAGGCTTAAATTAATCATGGTTGGTTGTTCTCAGTGAAACTAAAACCTAACTAAAATAAAATAATCCATTCAAATGGTTGAAGCCAGTGTCAACTTTTTAGTAGCAGAAACCACTCATATTTCTACTTGCGACTTAATGAAATGTGTATATCCTGCCCTGTACTGTAGTGTTTTTCATCTTCCAGATGGAAGCTATTTCAGTAAAGCTAAAGCATGACTAATTTAGTCTCAATCTAAGCCATTATATTGCATTTACAAATATAAATATATACAGACATTCATTTCACAATTGCTGATTAGAAAAGAAAGGATTTGAAGATTTGATATCTCAGATTTGTCATAGTTATAGAAGCGTAGAATATTATTTTCTAATGTTACTATAATCAGCTAGGTTAGCACTTTCTCAGTGATAGCATCTTTTTCTTTAGCTTGTTATATCCCAACTACTTCAAAATTTAGTGTAGAATAACAGCAAAGCATACATGAGTTGTCACAGAGGTGAAGGAGAAGCAACCTCTCCTATCCATATGCCTGAAGCAGTATGAATTATATTCTGTCTATGGCATTTTGCTGAATGGGACAGGAAACACTCTGGCTCTTTTATTGTGTCCACTGAAAGACAAAAGTGAAGAACATTCAAGATGTTCATGTTAACGTTATGTTTTAACTAAAGCCTCCTCAATCTTTTGCAGAATAGCTACACTATACATGTAGTAAGTGCTGTGTAGACTTGCATGAACATGTCAAGTTTGTACAGAATGATATCATCTTTTCAATAAGTATGGCACCAAACTATATTGTGGGAGTTGTCAAGTTCCTTGAGGTCAGTGTTTCTCAACCTTGGCAACATTAAGATGTGTCAGTTTTCACAATTCCCCAGCCAGCATGAAGTTCACATATCTTAAAGTTGCCGAGATTGACTTCTTTAGACTGCAGACCAAGCCAGCCTTTTTTCAATCGGATACCTTCTATTCTATTAATTTGGTGAAGAGCAATTTTGATATCTTTAGCAGATAGTGTAAGATATAACAAGTAATGGATGTATTAAGAATGATAAAGTGAGCATAGAACAGGATTCAAATCAGTCTATGCAGTAATGCAATGGTAACATTCTTTTACCGCAAATTGGGGAAATAATGGTTAATTTTGCTTCTCCAAGACTTGTGGCTTTTTTTCTAAGAAGAAAAAAAATTGATAAAACACTCAAAGGACCTCTACTGATGACTCAAGTTGAGTGCTAAATTCCATACATTTTAGATTGGCAGCCTTAATCTCACTTAACTGAGAGTTCCTTCTGTTTCTTTGACAATTCACATCACTTAGCTTGTATTCAAAGAAGTTTAGGTGTGTGTGTGGGGGGGGGGGAAATGGAGCTGATTTGATAAAATGTGCAAAGTCTCTCTAGCAGGAGATTAAAAAAATAGACAAAGCTAATAAAGCCAGTGCTGCAAAAAAGAAAAGTTAATGATTAAAATCCTAGATATCTTCTGAAAGCTATTTTGATTTACCTTGGCCATGTCATGTGTGCTATTTCATTGGAGAAGGGAATGATTCTGGGAATGGTTACTGGATCATGAAGAAGGGGCAAGCAAAGAACTTGCTGGTTTGATAACATCAAATCTGATATATCCAACAACTGAAAGAAGCTGAGCTCGACAGGGTAGCATGGAGAGCACTTGCTTATAAAGTGGCAAAGAGTCGGACACAATTAAATGGTTAAAACAACCACAATCTTCTGAAAGCATGTTATACAAATTAAGTTGGGCTTTTACTAGTATGGATAGAAACCACGTGATAACCTTATGTAACGTTTGCATGGAAAAAATAGGATAGGGTAGTGCTATCGAGTCATAACAACCTGTAATGTATTAATAATTTTAGCTAACTTTTGGCTAACGGACAATTTTTTGGAGCATATTTGACCTCTGACCTTTTGAATAACCAGCAATTTTTATCAATTTCATTGTAAAACCTTGCACTGGTAAATCCATTTTTGTTTCTGAAATTTATTTTGAAATATATTTATAGAATACCCATAGCTTTTTGCTTTCAGGCGTGTAAAAAGATTATTTTTCAAGAAGCTGCTTGTTTTAAAATGTCATCTGCTCAGGGTGACTAGTGCTCAGAACAAATATTGAAAAAAGAAAAAAATACTAGAAAAAAATATTGATCTGTGATACTGATAATATTCAAATATGGCAGACCCGAATAGTCAACTGTGTATGAACTGCACTGAGTATGAAGCTTTTTATCAATCAATCAATCAGAATAGAGCTGGAAGGGATTTTGGAGGTCTTCTAGTCCAACGCCCTGGTCAAGCAGGAAACCCTATACCAGGGGTGTCAAACTGCCAGCCTGCAGGCTGGTTGTATCATATGGAGGTCGCACCCACCCCAGCTCCACCAATACAAAAAAAGTTGCGATACGTCATGACATGTCACATGATGCGGCGAGTTTGACACCCATGCCCTATACCATGATACCTATACCCTATACTATACTTACGATTTATGCATTACCTGGGCTGACTATCCAATGGGAGACAACTTGTGGAATGTAACATTTTTGAAGTTACATACTGAATTATAAATACCTTGAAAATGCTACAATATGGGCAACTTTAATTTTGAATTTTAATTATTTTACTCTTGTTTTTGACTATTTTTATTGTAATATTTATATATATAGCTTTTCTGTTTTATGTCTTTTTGTTCATCACCTACAATCGCTCTATGAGATGGGCAGTTTCTAAATTAGATAGATAGATAGATAGACAGAGCTCAAATAGGTTTTTGTGAAGTCCTATTTGCAATATACTGTAAGTTGTGTTAAATGCAAACACAAGTTTGGAGATGGGAGATATTAGTTTGCTTATTAAGATCACCTTGTCTCCAAATAAATTATTAATCAATTAAATATTCCATCTTTCCTCTTTACTGTTAAATGATCCCACGGTGATCACATATTTGTACAATCATTTTAAAACCCAGCACAAACCACAATGATTAGTCAATGTAAACATAAACAAGCCAAAGCTGCTTTATAGCTATTCCAGCTTTGTTGCCTGGGCCCAATGCTTAATTCAAGGCCTCTCTGTCTTCCAGTTTTCCATTTGAAATTTGAGCAAACATCACACAGATGTTTGCCCAGCAGGGATTTCTTCATCTGATTTAAAGCCTGCAGGAAATCTGTTAGTGTTGAGGAGTTCCATTTTTCATCTTCAAGCAGCAGGCTAGGCATCTTGATCTATTCATAAATGCTCACCCTAGCTTCTGTAATAGTGTTGTTCTATAGCCCAGAAAGATTTCCTTCCCAGACTGCACATCTGCAATAACAAAGACCAATTGCAGATCTGTAATCATGTCCCCACCTGTACCTAACCCTGGCACCCTGGAACACTCTTTTCCTGCCATGTCTGCCTGACATTGCTTTCATCTTGTTCCCAGCCCATGGATGAAATAGGCTTAAGCTATTCCTAGCTGTAGCAGCACTGAACTAGCATTTTTCTCTTTATTCTCTTTATCCCATCCAAGTGCAATCTTAAGATAAGTATATTTTCTTAGGCTTTGTCACCCACTGCTCTGGAAAGAAACCAAGTAACTGGCAGTGACTGAGAACGGACATTCTTGGAGGATGGATGGGGATGGACAGAGAGGACAGTGCAGTTCAAGCCACGAAAGTTTTCTGCCAACCCAGCTTTGCTGATCTCCTCACTTTGAGAAGCAGAAGTGGTTTGAAACGGAGAAGCAGACGGGCTCCCCCAAAATCATTCATCTAAGTTGCATGTCCATAATGGGAGGAAAAGGGGGAGGAAGATGATTGGCTGACCCCTCATTTTTCTCCACAAAGGCATCCACAGAATAAACCCAATGCTAAAGGCAATTTATGCCTTATGAGCTTGCTTGATCATTGAGATTCAATTAGGAATCTTCTTCTTTGGTTTTCTTTCTTCCACTTAACGAAAAGCAGGGCATCCAGCCACCTCATGCCCTGCATGACTATGTTGCAAGAAGAAAAAGGATGCCCAGTATTGCCATGCATGTGTCCATGTCATGCATGTGCGCTGCTGAGTGATACATAGGACTTAAAGCTGCTATCATATGTGTGAATAGTGTCATCTCGTCCTCTGTATCATTTATTTATTTATTTATTTATTTATTTCACTGATATTCCAACATTCCCCAAAGGAGGTCAAAATATAACCTTCAATTTATGCTGGCAATAATAACCTGGTTGTCAATAATAAGACAGCGACCAGCTTAAAGGCCTCAATGACTCAATTCGACTTGTGAATCTGCAACTTATTTTTGTTATTGTTGGTGTACCGCCTGGGAAGGAAATCTAATGCTTCAGAAGACTTTCTGGGCTATAGAATAGCACTATTACAGAAGCTAGGGTGACCATTTAACTAAATCCCAGGCCAACATTTGAAGTGTTCCCTCTCTGGTTCCAGACTAATTACTGCACCTGATAATCCTGATTAAAGCCAGATTGGGCAATACACGTGGAGCTGGCTATTGTGCATTTG